CCCGCCGCCCTGCGCGCTCGGACCACCATTCCAGGAGCCGCTCTCGCTCCCAGAGCCGCACCCAACGACGCGTTGCGTCTGAGCAGTCCAGGAGCCGCGGTGTGTCCCGCCGCTCCAGGAGTCATTCCCGTGACCGTGCACGGTCCCACTCCAGGTCAAGGTCCAGGAGCCGCGGTATGTCCCGCCGCTCCAGGAGCCAGTCCCGGGGAGGCGCACGCCGGTCCAACTCCAGGTCTAGGAGCCGCGGTGTGTCCCGCCGCTCCCGGAGTCAGGCGCGTCGCTCCTCATCTCATGCTCGGCGTGACCGACGTAGGTCACACTCCAGGAGCCGCTCTCAATCGCGTGACCGTGCGCAGCGTGGGCGCCGTGACAGGTCGCACCACCGCGACCGCACTCGCTCGCGTTCGCCCACGCCCATGTCGGCGATCGCCCTCCTGGCTCAGGCCCTAGGCAACAGAAGCAGCGGCAGCAACCGCCGTCTGCCCCTGTACACAGGCAAGACAGACTACTCCCTCTTCCGTTTCCGGTTTCTGGAGCATGCGCGCCAGTGCCACTGGTCAGACCGGCGGAAAGGACTTGAGCTGTCTATGCTCCTTACTGAGGACGCGGAGGCAGTGCTCCGGCACCTGCCCGACAGAAAGCGGACAGACTTCGAGTCGCTCGACTCGGCACTGAAGCTTCGCTTCTTGCCAGATGTCAACCGTGCTGATGCTGAAAGGCGCTATGCTGGCCTCAAGCAAAAGTCGGGACAGTCGCTGCGTAAGTTCGCAGCTGACGTCACCGATGTTACTATGGAGGCGCACCCGGGTATGTCTCAGGGTGCTCTCCAGCAGTTGATGATAAAGGCATTCATCAATGGCCTAGCTGATAGCACAACCAAGCGATTTGTCCGCAGAAAGAGAGAAAGGTTTGACTCCCTGCGCGACGCCTTGCGTCAGGCAGAGAAAGAGTACGCCGCTGATGATCGCGGCGGCTCGCCCAAGCGCGTTCGTCGCGCCAGCACGAGCCCCACGAATAAGAAATTGGACGAGCTGGTGAGGTCTGTAAATACTGGGCACCAGCAGCTGAATGAGCTGCGGGCTCAGCTTGAGAAAGCAAAGTCAGCCAGTGCCAGCACGTCCTCTTCCGATCAAAACCGGCCTAAGCGGGACATGTCCACAGTTTCTTGTTATTCCTGTGGAGAGAAGGGCCATTTCAAATGGCAATGTCCCGCGAAAAACTCAGGCAGACAGCAGCAGCAGGGGACCGCCGCCCCGGGTGCGTCCCAGGGCGGGCCGAAGGGTGTGTCCCCCGGCCAGGCCCCCTGCGTGGTGTACTACGTACCCACCGCGGCAGCTGTGGCAAATGGGTTGCCTACCCAACAGGCGCCCGCTCAGGGCAAGCAAGCTGGCAAGGGAAAGGGCAAGGGCCGTGGGGGCCGGGGAGGCAAAAGGGCCAAGCAAGAGACCGATGCCAAAATCAAGAAAGAGGATGAAAAGGACGGCTCGTCTAGTTCAAAAAACTAGACGGTGCCGCGCGTCTCTCGGCCGCCACTAAAGCCTCCCTGAGAACCGCGGCGACACCCACCCCCGACCAGACAGACCTGCCCGTCTCGGTGCCGTCGCCCGTCATAAATCTGCTTATTAACGACACCAAGGCCGAGGCTGTCGTTGACGGCGGGTCGACCATAACCCTATTCCGGCATGGTTTGCTTCCACGCCTGAAATTAGAGCCATCTCACATCAGAATGCGGCAGGCCGCTCAGCAGGCCGCCCCTCTGCTTGGGCCCGCGGTGGTCAAGCTGACCATCGCCGGCGTGGTCTTTGAGACCTGGGCTTTTGAGGCCGACATAGCAGAGGATGTCATTCTCGGCCAAAACTTTCTCGTTTTCTACGACGTGAGGCAAAACCCAGGCCAAAACAAGATTGAAATGCATAAGTTGCCGGAGTCCGCTGGGCGCACTGTCCTCGCGGTGCCCTACCGCTTGCAAGACACGCCCAGCGCAGCGCAACCCTTCGCGACGCTGCGCATTGCTGCTCAGGAGGAGATAGCTCCCGGGCAGAGCATCACTATCGAGGGTGACCTACGCGCATGGGAGGCGCTCATTGCATTGCCTGCTGCCTATCGGCCGCGGACCCAGGGTCCGGTCTGTTCCGACCGGGTCTGCGCCGATGGCTCGGAGACGCCGGCTTGCACGCCGTCGTCCCGGACCAGAGAAGGTGTCGACCACTCCGAGGCCACGGAGCGGCCGCCGCCGGTGTCCGGCCCTCACCTCGTCAAAGGGCGTACGGGGAGGGGGCCCTCACCTGTGCGAGCCCCGTCGGTGCGACCGGGCGCTGTACCCGCGCGCCGTGTGGCAGCAGGGCGCCATGCGCCGGCCCAGGTGGGGCGCTACACTCTATCGAAGCCGGTGCATTGTAGTAGCAGTGGGGCGCCGTGTCTGCAGCGCGGCGGGCCCACGTTGCCTCCCATGACGAAGCGCCGCTTGCAGCCGCGGGCTGACGCGAGCGGGTCCCATCCCAGCTCGCGGCCTGCAGCTGATGCAAGTGGGCGCCGTTTGCAGCTGCCGGCTGACGCGGGTGAGTGTGTCTCC